GTGATGATTTTTCACATACATTCCTGAAAGGAAAATAAGAATCCCCCACATAAAAATCAAAATTTTTACACTTTTTTAAAAGACTGGAAAAACCAGAGGAAATCCAAGTTATTCCATTTTGTATATATCCTATACTTGATGTATGTGATGAGGAGTAATTCTCACTATCTAAGAACATGAGAATATATAACAAGTCATGCTGGATCAGACCAGTGGTCCATCCAGTCAAACACCACAGGAGCATTGACATAGCACATGGATGGATCCTGAATCAGGTGACCTGACCACCTCTGCTGTCCGATGAACCCCACACCCCCAGCCCACTTGTTGGAGTGCTACTGGGAGAGGCAAACCCCCAGGGAGCTGTACTGTGTGATGGCTGTTGTGTGGTTTCCTTGCCATCTGGTGTTGAGAGCCCCACTTATAGCCCCTGAGCTGGGCATGTCCCTGAACTGGCTCTGCCCCAAGACTCCTTAAGGGAGACCCTAGAACTGCAGGATGTGGGCATGCAGACATCGCCTCCATAACCAGAAAGGATCCATCCCATGCCCAAGCTGCCACAAAAGCTGGGGGGAGTAGTTACCACACACTGTCTCCTGCCAAAAACATTGCCCCAATTAATGTATGGGATGACACTTGAACCCCCCTCTTCCCATTTTGCCCCTTTAGAAAAAAATCAATCAAGATTTCTGAGAGCTTTATTTCAGGTACCAAGCTGTGTGTCCATCTTTTGTCTTGGGTCAGGTCTGATTAAGGTAGAAGCCAGGGTAAGCCTTGCCTCCATCAGAGTGATGCAAGGCATGATGTCCTGGGGAGCGGTGCACGGTGTGGTGCTTGAGTCAGAGTCAGGTTTGCTCATTGGGATCCCACCTTCATCGCCAGTGTATAATACTGAGTTCAGAGGCGTTGAGTAGTGATCAGCTCATGTTTTATTTAGCCAGCAAAACGAAAGACAAACTAGCCAGGTCCGAGCCCCACTTATAACCCTGCAGTACCCCACACCCAACACACACCCCAACACCAGTGATAGACTATTTACAGTAGAAGAGTTCATTATAGGTCTACTCTAGAATGGGCACTCCGATTGGTCTGTCCTAGGATCTGTTCCCTCTATTGTTCTAGCACCCAAAGGTGAGCGATTTGGCTGCTGCATAAATCAGCTTGCTCTGAAGCCATCCTTCATGAGCTAAGACAAAAATGTGTGAACCAGAGGCTAAAAAACTGTGAGCTAGCTCGCACTAACTCAGCTTAGAGGGAACACTGGCTGTCAGCAGAAGGAAAAGAGAAAACAGTGTGGGAAAGGGCATACAGGTGATAATGATGTGCCCCCTATAAGTCCTTGAGAGCCAGTGTGGTGTAGTGCTTAAGAGCGGTGGACTCTGATCTGGAGGACTGCATTTTGATTCTCCACTCCTGATCCACATGAAGCCTTCTGGGTGACCTTGGGCTAGTCACAATCTTTGTCAGAGCTCCCTCATCCCCATCTACCTCACAGGATGTCTGTTGTGGGGAGAGGAAGGGAAGGTGATTGTAAGCTGCTTTGAGTCTCCCTTGGGTAGAGAAAAGTGGGGTATAAAAAGCAACTCTTTTTCTAACAGATGTACAGCTGGGCCCAGCCTAGTGACTGGCACCATGCAGAGTTTTTCCAGAGAGAAGCTGCCAGCTGAAGGGAAATCTGAAGATGGGGACTGATAACAGTTGGCCCCTCCCCCATTCAGGCAATCCCCAAAAAAGGGAATGGAAGGAAGGAAGGAAGGAAGGAAGGAAGGAAGGAAGGAAGGAAATAAATGACCTTAGGCATTTCAAGCCAACTATTCTACTATTCTCATGTTTGTTTGCAAAGTTCAGTCTGTAACTTCTAAATGACTTGTTAATTAGCCTGGGCAAATGTTATCTTCCTCAAAGTAATTCCCATATGAGAAATATTGCATCAGTCAAAATGCTATTTATTATGAGATGTCTCAGATTGAATTTATATCAATGCCCAAATGAGAAGGGAGCACTCACTGAAGAAGACCCTGATGCTGGGAGAGATTTAAGGTAAAATAAGAAGGGGATGGCAAAGGATGAGATAGTTAGACAGTGTTATCGATCCAACAAACATGAAATTAAGCAAACTCTGGATCACGGTGGAAGACAGGAGTGCCTGGCTTGGTGTGGTCCATGGGGTCACAAAGAGTTGGACTCGACTGTGCGACTGAACAACAACAACCTTCATGTTCAGAGGGTTGGGCAAGGAGCTTCAAATATCTGAAAAGGAATATTCCAGGCAAATTGGGTGCTTCGTTTATCAAAAGGAACGAGGTGATTCTAAGGATGATTCTATCTTCCTCTGTTTCTGTGCTAAGATTATAGAAGGACAAATGCAGATTTTTAAAACCAATTACATTTAAGTAAATCATTGGCCAATATACATTATTACTTCAGGTGAACTCTACAGAATCTCAGTGTGGAAACCAAACCTTTGTAATAACCCGTTTTGCAGAAACGTCAAGTACACCTTCCTGCTGTTTCACCAAGTAAGTAACAATCCTTTGACAGACAGGTATTTTTATTGATACACAATGGAAATCTGCTGACTGATAACAGCACCTTTCATTTTCTTCTCTGACAGCTATTGATGTGACAGACCTTTATGGGATATATGTATGCATATGGTCACACAAAGATTGCATTAGAATCTGGAATCCCACCATGTAGTCTAACATGTTGACAGCTGTACTGCAGTGAACCTGGTGACCAAAGTAATATCTGTTCCTGAAGTCTTCATTTCACATAAAGCTAGAACATTTTGTTTGTCCGCATTCTGAGCCATTTGAGAGGGATGGTTGTCATTCTGCATCCATCGAAGTGATGGCAAACACATCAACACTGACTGAATTTATCCTAGTAGGGATTCCTTTTTTCTATGATCTGCACAGGATTTTCTTTTTCATAGGTTTATTCATGTACATCATAGCCATCCTGGGGAATGGATTTATCCTTGTCATCGTGGCTATTGAGCCAAGACTTCGGACTCCCATGTACTTCTTCCTGAGCAACTTGGCTTTTTTGGAGATCTGCTACACCACAACCATAGTACCTAAGCTGCTAGAAACACTGCTAGAAACACAGACGACCATTTGTTTCTATTGCTGCATGGCCCAGAACTTCTTTTACTTCACATTTGGAAGTACAGAGCTTTTAATCCTGACAGTGATGTCCTTTGACCGGTATCTGGCCATATGCAAACCACTCCAGTACCCAATGATTATGACCAAGAATGTTTGCATTCAGTTGTCCTTGGCTGCTTGGTACTCATCATTCATACTCTTTTTTCCCCAATGTCTCCTTGTATGGAGGATGTCTTTCTGTGCTTCCAATGTTATCGATCATTTCTTGTGTGACGCTGCTCCCCTGTTCAGCATTTCATGTGCTGATACCTTCCTCAATGAGATTATGGGACTGCTCAGTGCCATTCTACTGAGCATTTTGACCTTGATCTTCACCTTAGTGTCATACGTCTATATTATCTCCACCATAGTGCGTGTTCCTTCAGCCAAGGGACGCAAGAAGGCTTTCTCCACCTGTTCATCTCACCTGATTGTGGTGTCTATATTGTATGGGGCACTGATAGTCATGTATGTGAGGCCCAACCTGCATTCCTCATCTCCCCTAACCAGGGTACTGGCGGTGCTGAACACGGCCGTGACACCAGTGCTGAACCCTTTCATTTACACAATAAGGAATGTAGAAGTGAGGGGCACTGTCAAAAATGCAATCTATAAGAAGAGAGAGTTGCCAAATGAAGAGTTTTTAAACATGTCCCAAAAAGTTGGTAAATATGAATGATGTGAGAACTCTGAGATCGGGATACATGGAGCTATAGTGTGGCATAGTGTGGGTCCATTTTACTTTGGCAGCAGTATCAGCACGCTTGGCAATAAGTGAGGAGACCTTACCCAAGTAGATGAACAGAAAAGTAAATCAATGAAAGTTTGTACTTGAATGTAAGATTGAATGTAAGATTCCGATGTAGGATTTGTTCCTGAGGAAAGACCAGAGGTCTGAAACACTTAGATACCTGGAAAAAGTGTTGACTGAAAGAATAACACAAAACTTTGAGCAGACTGCTTTTGTGAATTTGAATAAGGACACAAGACTGTTTGAGTTACTTGAGCAGACTGCTATGTGAATTTCTATCGACCTTTGTATTTTTTCTGTGATGGAAGATGATGTTTGTCTTTATTACTAGACACTAAATATGTTATGGCTTTAATATAGTCTCATTTGTTGTTGTTTGGCTCTGTGGGCATCTAGCACATGTCTGTATATATCTTTTTCATACTTGACTACATGGAGAAATAAACAATTACTGAAATAGTATAGTAGGTAGAATCAAGTGGAACTTCTGATATTCTGCCGGAGGATATAAGAGTCTCCTGAATGTACATATCTTCTTTACATGTTGAATATTAAATTTGAAACTTTAGCACAGCTTCATTGTTATAAATATCAGCAACAGACTATACCATGCATACAGTAACTATTCTTGTCAAATGAAGAATAGGGGTGTGCAAAAAAATAATAATTCGGCCCATTCGGATTCAGCCGAATCGAGCAGAATCAATTTCGGCTGGCAGTAAGACTCCTGCATGTCAGTTTCGTCAGTATGAGCCAATTGGGGAGTTTTTCGGCCATCCGAATGTCAATTTCAGCCCCATTATATCCTATGGGCCATTGAAGTCAATGGCGAAAACATAGGGTATATTCTGGGGGTTGGAGTGGAGGGGGATTGAGGGAGATACTCCAAACTCGCAGGGTAGCTGCTGGAGCCTCTCCCCAAGATATCAATCATGTTTTAAGATCATTGGACCAGGGGGTCCAATTCTATGGGCCCTCAAACAGGCTGCCCCTATCCCCTCCATTGTTCTCTATGGTGGGGAAAATAGTTCTGAAGCTATTTTTTGCTATCCCATGTGTCCAAGCTCCACATGGTCTGGGCAGCTGCTCTCCCAATAGCTACAGCAAGGCTCCAATCTTTGGCCTAGACCACTCTTCCCTCTGGAGCAGCACCTTCCACGTCTGCAGGAAGCGGAATTGCTATATTTTCCCTCCACACCTCAGGAGCAAGACTCTGGTGGCAGCAGCAGGTGGTGAGGACCCCACAAGAACAGTGTTACTAGCAGCGGTGGTGGTGAGGCTCCTGCAATCAGCACCTGGTGGTGGCAGCCTGCAGAGGATTCCGGTGGCAGTGGTGGCCTTTGTCAGCTGAGTAGGGTGGCAAAGCTCAGCAGCAGCAGATCCCAGCCCTGTCTGGGCCCATCAGTATTGTTCGTGGGGTGGGATAGGTCTGGAGTGGCAGTAGCCCGTGGGCCAGCACAGCATCTGGGCAGAGGGGATCCCAATGGCCTAGAACTGCCATGGGGATAATTTTTTCCCCCAAGGTGGCACACTCCTTGGCATTTGAGCATCGCTCCACCAGGAGGTGAAGGGGTGGGCCCACTTATACACAACTCCATCTGGGAATGTTTATTATTATTATTATTGTTGTTGTTGTTATTATTATTAACCAGTGCAACCAGTCCTTCTCTTTACCTCATGCATTATTTTCACCTCATGAATTATTTTCCTGGGTGAAAAAGTGGGCTTGGGCTATGCAGTGCCTGCTTAGTGAGGGTGATGGCATGATCATCTGGGGTCTGCCCTACAACTAAACCTTATTTTTAAGGGTTTCCGAAGAAGAAGAAGAGAGTAGTAGTAGGTTGTATTTATACCCCACCCGTCACTACTCGAAGGAGTCTCAGAGCATCTTACAATCTCCTTTCCCTTCCCCGCCACACAACAGACATCCTGTGAGGTCAATGGGGCTGTGAGAGCTCTTTCAAGAACTGCTCTTGAGAGAAAAGCTCTCAGAGAACTTGTGACTGACCCAAAGTCACACCAGAAATTGCATGTGATGGAGTAAGGACTCAAAACCAGTTCTCTCAGATTAGAGTCCTCGCTCCTAACCACTGCACCATAGGTAAACATATGGTGCTTAATCATATACTTAGGCAAAGCTGGAAATTATATATGAATGATTTAAAAAGAATAATAAAATATTTTAAAATTCCTCATCTTACTTAACCAGGGTAAAAGCACTGCTGAACACTTCCCTCATTCCAATGTTGAACCCTTTCATTTACACAATAAGCAAAGCAGAAATGAAGAGGTTTTAATAAGAAGAGACAGTTGCTGAATGAAGGGTTTTTAAGTGTGTCCAACAAAGTTGGTAAATAATATGAGTGATGTGAGAAATCTGAGATCAGGACCAATAAAGATACAAGCACTGATACTGAAGAGCAGTGTAGTTGGTGAAACCTAGTGGAGCTGACAATATTGTCCTGAAACGAGTAAGAGTCTCCTGAATGTATGGAGTCTGTCTTTGTCTTCAGTATTAAATTGCAAACTTTAACATTGTTTCATTTTTATAGACAGTTCATTTGCAACTGAAAACTACTGTGCACAGAATGACTTCATGAGCAAAGAGCCTCATGTATTGCCTTGTTGAGATCCTTTTAATTTGAAATTAGTAGTGTTTAGAATAGTTTTGCACCCCATCCTTCTCTTCTCTTGTTTTCATGAATGATCTTCCTTGGCTGTCAGGTTCCTGGGTCAAAAAGTGGTCTTGTGCTATGCAGTGGGGTCTGCCCTACAACTCTACATTTAGTTTTGTTAAGGGGAGGAGGAGGTGGAGGAGGAGACTGGAATTCATACCCCACCCTTCACTACCCAAAGGAGTCTCAGAGCAGCTTACAAACTCCTTTCCCTTCCCCTCCCCACAACAGACACCCTGTGAGGGAGGTGGGTCTGAGAGAGCTCTTTCAAGGACTGGCCATGAGAGAACAGCTGTGAGAGAACTTATAACTGAGCCAAGGTCACACCAACAGCTAGATGTGATTGAGTAGGGACTCAAACCCGGCTCTCCCTGATTAGAGTCCTCGCTCCTCACCACTACACCATAGGTGCTTATTATTCATATACTTAAGCAAAACTGGAAATTATATATTAATCAATTAAAAAGAATAATAAAATATTTTAAAATTCCTCATCTCGCTTAACCAGGGTTCTTGCGGTGCTGAACACTTCCCTCATTCCAGTGCTGAACCCTTTCATTTTCACAATAAGCAATGCAGAAGTGAAGGCCACTGTCAGGAATGCAATCAATAAGAAGAGACGGTTGCTGAATGAAGAGTTTTTAAGTGTGTCCAACAAAGTTGGTAAATAATATGAGTGATCTGAGAAATCTGAAATCAGTACCCTTAAAGATACAAGCACTGTTACTAAAGAGCAGAGTAGTTGGCAGAACCAAGTGGAACTGACAATATTATGCTGGAACGAGTAACCGTCTCTTGAATGTATGGAGCCTGTTTTCGTCTTCAATATTAAATTGCAAACTTTCTCATTGTTTCATTTTTATAGGCAGGTCATTTGCAACTGAAAACTACTGTGCACAGAACGACTTCATGAGCAAAGAGCCTCATGTATTACCTTGTTGAGATCCTTTTAATTTGAAATTAGTAGTATTTAGAATAGTTTTGCATCACCGAGTTCAGTGCTGGTGGCTACGTGTGGTGCTGCTGCTGACATAGGCTGACAAAATCAGTACTCTGTCAACAACAGCTCCACCTTAGCCACCGATCAGTGTAGATCATGCACCATTTGAAATCATCTGAAATTGTAGTGCTCTCTCTCTCTTTTTGGCCTGTGGCATTCTTCAGGTCAACACATTCTGAGAAAATACTGGATCTCAGGGAACAATGAGAGAAGGCACAGAGCAGTTGTGATCCAGTGTGATCCAGTGTGCAGCACAGGATTGACACAAACTTTTTCAACTTTGGGCATCAGGCTGGGGAAATGAAAAGCCAAAACAAATTCCAAAACCGTGGAAACCATATATGACCTTACTTTAAAGAGTATATTTAAAGTAATAAAGTGTCTATTTACAAAAAGTCCTGAGTGCTTTATGCTTCTATAACTACAGCGTTTATACACTGTCCCGTTTACTGACATACAAAGTACTTCACAGAAAATTAGAAATGTCCAATCCAACCATCACAAATACTGTACGAGTAATCAACCCTGACTGTTCCCTGGAAGGCCAGATAATGAAACTGAAGCTCAAATACTTTGGCCACCCAATGAGAAGGGAGCACTCCCTGGAGAAGACCCTGATGCTGGGAAAGATTGAAGGTCAAAGAAGACGGGGACGGCAAAGGATGAGATGGTTAGACAGTGTCATAGATGCAACGAACATGAAGTTGAGCAAACTTCAGAGGACGGCGGAAGACCGGAAGGCCTGGCGGGATCTGGTCCATGGGGTCGTGAAGAGTCGGACTCGACTGTGCGACTGAACAACAACAACAACAACTGGCGCCAAACCTGAGCTGGAGTGATTGATTTGCTTCTTCAAAATTTTGAAGGTGTCTGCATTTCATCTTCAAAGTTTTTTGTTGACACCAGCTGTTACTGGTTACATTATTAAAAGAATCAGCTTTTGAAAAAGACAGCAAGTATCAAATTCCTGTTGGATTATATGATCCTTGGTTCATCATTACTTCATGACCCTCAGGGAATTCCAAGCAGAAGAATAACCTTATTTCAAGAGTTCTGGCATTTAAGGACCATGTATTTCTACATTATTCAATGATTGACCATACAGTATTGCACCTCTGCACTGAGCGCCTCCTATGGAGTATGGGATGATGCACATACTGTGAAGGGAGGGAGGAAACAATGGCACGGAGTCTGGATGGCATGATCAGACCATTCCAATGGCATGAGAGTGTGCCTGAGTGATCAGACAGGAG